TGGCTACGCCCATGAGCCCCTGTTAAAAGTTCGGTCACCATGTGGTGTGACTCTATTAACTCTGCGTTGTGAAATTATTCACATTTGTTGATAATAACCATGAGCTTATTTTCTTGTGATTAAATAATTGCACCTAGATAGATGGTGTTAAAAATACCCTACTTGTCGTTGAAGGCCCTTATTGCGAAGTCTTTATGAGTGAAGGGTTTCAGCAGACCTTCTTTCAAAAAAAATTATCTGAGCTCTAGATACGAATTCGAGGAATCACGTTTGGTATTTGTCGATCAATTAGTCTGTTCAGCGTCTTCATCAGAAACGAAGAGACTGATTGGCCGAAAGTCCTTAGGCAATATGAGAAAGCTCTTTCCGTTCTTCACAACCCTCCAAGGTAGAGCGTATGCTTAATTCTTATGCAATTTGCTCATATGGGAAACACCTCCACAGCCCGTTGTCAGTCCCACAGGTTTATCTAACATACCAGAAAAGGCAGTGCAACTTTCGTGCCTTGCTTCAACGGAGCTTCTCTAGGGGATGGGCTACAAGGAAAATAGGCAGCAAGGAGATGTTTTAGCGAGTCATAACTACTCATAGTTATGTTTTCTGCCTCATCTTCCAGGTTGCTGTAAGGATTCGTTTAAATCTGAAGGAATCATGATATCTTTATACGCTTTTACAGAAGGTTCTCAAAGAAAAACTCTTCGCCTTATTATTTAGGACTTCTAGATTCCCAGTACAACTTTATTTGCATATAGTTACATAAAGTTTCCAGCTAGAAGACATCTTACTTCGCCGGCCTCTATTAAAGGGTTGTCTGCTGAACACTCTCAGATCAGCAAGTTGCGCCGTTCACAGCCACCTGGAACTTCTTTCTGTTCAAGGTACTGAAGGTACTGAAAAAAGAGAAAGTTTAACTCGTTCAGCCTCGCTCAATTGTAGGTATCAACACAAATTACTTTATCATTTTTGTTCTATAGAAAAAATTTGTTAATTTTTTTCTAGCCTCTAAAAAAGAAACTACAAAAAGCAATTAAATTCTTTCACTCATTAAAATTTTTATTATCATTGACTGCAGAGTTAAAATAAAATTTATTTCGTTATATAACTTTCACTCATTTGGAATGCTCCAATTGCCAACTGAGCCATTAAATAAATTTTCATTTTCTGGTGTTTTTTTTTATACATATGTACATGCATACTACCTATATGAGTAGATGCATATTTTCGTATGTATGCAAATATTAATGAATGTATCTTTATTAAAGTGAATGAAAATAAAGCCAAATACATCTCTGTACATAAATCAAATGAGTAACAATTTCAGATTGGCTTTAATGTCCGTTATTTTTAAGAGGAGAACGCACTTCCGTTCATACATTCCAAGAGATATTCTACATACATACATACATAAATTCATATGTACATACATAAATTCATATGTATTTGTACGGCGACAACAACAACATCAACATAGGCAACACCAACATCACGAGCATCAACAAGCAATTCATGGCTTAAATAATTAAAAGCGGCTTAAATACACTGGACGAAGAGGATGAGAGAATGTGATCTGTCAGGTACAACATAAAAAAATCGTCGGTTTTACATACACATTTATGTACATGAAAGCGTTTGTTAAGAATTACCGAAATGAGATCTTTAGCGGAAGTTGCTATTTATACGTGTGAGATGGGTACTTATTTTAACTGAAATTAGCTAACACAATACATACGTGTACGGATTGAGCCTTGACATTGAAAGCCTGAGGGCGGGTTGCGCAAAGCCTGGTTGACACCAATCCCGGTTAAACATCGTTATCGACGTTACTGACACAATGTTATATGCATGGAGTCGAAAACGTCGATAAAGATGTTAACCGATGATTAGTGTCAACCAGGCTTTGAGCAACCAGCT